TAAATTATCAAACTAGTACCTATACTATAATTCAATTTTACTTCTAGTATATATCCAACAGAAATATATACATAAGTTTTGCAGGACATGTACAAGAATTTAAAGCAATCTTATTTATAATTAGAAGGAACACAAATGTCCAACAACAGAATGTATAAATTGTAATGTATTTGTACAGTGGAATAACATTCATTAATGAGAATGCCAGGGCGCTAGTGACCACATGGATGAATCTCACCAAACATAATGTGCTAATAAATAAGCCGGCCATAAAAGAATTCATACTCTATTCTTTTATTAAAAGTTTTTTTAAAGGCAATATTAGAAGTCAGAATGCTGGTTACTTTTGGTAGTAGAGGCATTAGTGATTAAGAAGAGGCAGAAAGGGAGCTTCTGAAATGTCGATAACATTCTGTGTGACCTAGATGATGATTACGTGAGTGTATTCCCTTTTGGATTATTCACTGTGATACATTAATATGGTTTGTGCAGTTTTCTGGATGTATTTCATACTTCAATTTTAAAAGTTTAAAAATAGAAATAGAATATATTGTGACTGATTTTATACCAGTAAAATTTTAAACTTCAATTATACAGGCCAATTCCTAGAAAAGTAGAAATTACCAAAACCGACAATTGTAAAAGATTATTAGAAAGCTTAGATAGTGCCGTAATCATTAATACTGCATCAGTAGTTAAGTCTAGGTGGTTTTATAAATAAGTATTATCAAACTTATAAGAAATAGATCATTCTAATTTATGCAAACTATTTTAGTGTATAAAATAACAAGGATCAGTCTTCAACTCATTTTATGATGTTAGCATAAGCTTTATACAAAACCTGACAAGAACAGCATACAAAAGCAAAATTACCATTCAGTCTCACTGAATAATATAGATGGAAAAACCCTAAACAAAATATTAGCCAACCAAATCTAGCAATGTTGTAGAAATAGAAGATTAATTTGAAATTAGAAAATAAGTTAGTGTAAATCACCACAATAATATATTAAAGGAAATAATATAGGACCATCTCAATAAATGGTAAAAAATAACTTACACAATTTGACATGTATTTATAAAAAAACAAAAAAAACTAGCAAAATTGAAGTAGAAGAGAACTTCCCTTAATCCAGTAATAGGAATCTACCCTCCCAAACCTACAGCAAACCTTATACTTAATGGTAAAGTGTTGAATATATTCTTGCAGATCCAGGTGCAAGAGTGCCTGCTGTTAATATTTTTTTTTCTTTTTTTGAGACAGAGTGTCACTCTATTGCCCAGGCTAGAGTGGCATGGCGTCTGCCTAGCTCACAGCAACCTCAAACTCCTGGGTTCAGGTGATCCTCCTGCCTCAGCCTCCTGAGTAGCTGGGACTACAGGCATGTGCCACTATGCCCAGCTAATTTTTTGTATATATTTTTAGTTGTCCAATTAATTTCTCTCTATTTATAGTAGAGACAGGGTCTCGCTTTTGCTCAGGCTGGTTTTGAACTCCTGACCTTGAACCATCCTCCTGCCTTGGCCTCCCAGAGTGCTAGGATTATAGGCGTGAGCCACCATGGCCGGCCTGCTGTTAATATTTCTGTTCAACATTGTTCTGAAAGTCCTAGCCAGTGTAGCAAGGAATAAGAGAAGGAAAAAAGTTTTTTAAAAGAAGAACAAAGCAATTATTTGTAGATGATATGGTTGTCAAAGAAAATCCAAAATAATCTACAAAGTACTAAAATAGTAAGATTGATGGATAATTTATATTAAAAAATCAGTTACATTTCTGTATATCAGTAATAAACAAAGCAGTATTTTAAAAAGAACATTTAGAAAAAATCCAAAAATTATCAAGTACCCAGGATTTTTTTTTTTTTTTTGAGACAGAGTCTTGCTCTGTTGCCCAGGCTAGAGTGCCATGGCTTCAGCCTAGCTCACAGCAACCTCTAACTCCTGGACTCAAGCAATTCTCCTTCGTCAGCCTTCCGAGTAGCTGGGACTACAGATGTGTGCCATAGCACTCAGCTAATTTGTTCTATTTTTAGTAGAGACAGGGTCTCACTGTTTCTCAGGCTGGTTTCAAACTCCTGAGCTTGAGTGATCCTCTCACCTCGGCCTCCCAGAGTGCTATGATTACAGGTGTGAGCCACTGCACTTTGGCCTAGTACCCAGGATTAAGCCTAACAAAGAATAGGCATGACCCATATAGAGAAAACTGTAAAACTTTATTTAGAGAATTACAGATGATTTAAATAAATGGAGATACACTGTGTACATGAATTGGAAGACTCCATACTGTAAAGATGTCAATTCTATCCAAACTTTTCTGTAGATTTAATGCAATCTCAATTAAAATCTACAGCTGGATTTTGTATATATGTGTACATAAGTTGATTCTAAATATATAAGGATGGTCAGAGATTCAAGAATTGCTGAGATACTCTTGCTAAGAAAATCTTGAATGTGTTGGAAAATGTACATATTACTAGATGAGGTGATTCAATATCTTATAAATTCTACCCAAATAGTCTGTAAAATCAGTGCATTACAATAAGGATTCCAACAGGATTTCTTAACAGGACTTGACATGCTATATATAGAATTTATTTGAAGAGAAAGCATGGTATTAGTCAAGAAAAAGTGTTTGTAAGGCAAATGAGGGAGTTTTGCTTTTCCACATTGTAAATTTACTATAAATCTTTTAGAAATTAAGATAATGTGGTATTGCATAGAATACAATATAGAGTCCCCCAAAAATACCACCTACATACGATAAAGATGGCATTACAAACCAAGAAGAAAAGGATAGGTTTTGATATTGGGGCAAATTATAAGCATTAAAAAATATATATATCGGGACAGGCATGGTGGCTCACACCTGTAATCCTAGTACCTTGGGAGGCCGAGGCGTGAGAATTGCTTGAAGTCAGGAGTTCAAGACCAGCCTGAGCAAGAGTAAGACCCCATCTGTACTAAAAATAGAAAAAATTAGCTGAGTGCCATGGCACACACCTGTAGTCCCAGCTACTCGGAAGGCTGATGAAGGAGAATTGCTTGAGCCCAGTAGTTTGAGGTTGCAGTGAGCTATGATGATGACACTGCACTCTATCCAGGGTGGCAGAGTGAGGCAATGTCTCAAAACAAAACAATATATATATGTATATATCATACCATGTACAAAAATATACTATAATTGGGTTAAACAAAACACTAACTACCAGTTATTTAGGTGTCTTATTTATAGTACAATGTTTAAGGTTAAAAATCTCCCAGAATTACTGATTCATTTACTTATACACAAAAGGAGAAAAGTCCATTTCAGGGTCCTTCTGATTGAAAAAGAAATGGCTATTTATGTATCTACAAAATTACAGATACTAATTTGAATTTTTACTCATGACCAACTAACATAAAAATTCTTCACATATTTTTAAACTCTGAAGTCCATATATCTGAGAAAAGGGTTTATGCAGATACCCTTTAAAGGACAATTCCATGATTACTAACTATGGAAAAGATTTCAATTTAATACATGTTTTTTCATCTCCCACTTTATCTAAAAAGTTTGTTATAAATAGAAAAGTTTGGCTATTTAAAATTCTATCTTATGCACTTTCATCTTATGTGTATAAATTTCTGTTTGCTATTACAACTGTAAATTGGGAAGACATGAGATTTCAAAGACTCAGGATTTCCTTTGCTAGATCTGAATCTGAAAGAGCATGGCCCACAGAAATCCAAGACTTAGGAAAAAGACAACAGATTTTCACAAATCAGAATGAAGTTTGTAAAGGGTTTACAAAAATATAACTTTGGAATATGGAAGGACTGAAACAAGAGAAAAAACTAAAAAACAATAAAGGAAAAGATTGATAATTTAACTGTATCTAACTGTTCTGATAGGACATATACCAGATCTTTTCCAGTACATTTTATAGATACTGATGAAGAAATATATAATTTGGTTGTATATGATTCCCCCCACAAGTTGTCTCATCTATACATGCTTTTCAGTAAGCAATTGTTCTCCTTTATTTTTTTCCCTTTATTTTTTAGAGTTAGAGGATACAAGTATAGTTTTGTTACATGGATATATTGTGTAGTGGTGAAGTCTGGGCTTTTAGTGTAGCCATCCCCCAGCTTTTCTCATTTAAGAATATGTTTTGGGGTTCTTTCATATCCATATAAAGCTACCCTTTCCTTTTTAACTTCACAGTATTTCAAATTATTATGTAGCAAGGGTTAAATCATATAATCAATCATTCCCTCTTTCATATTCATTTGTTACTTTCAGTTTCTCCTTTTTATAATGGAGCATATCTTTATATATGTTTCTTTGTTTTTATATATGATTATTTCTCTAGATTAAATTCCCAGAAAAAATTGCTGAGTTGAAAGATATGCCCACGTAAAATTTTTTTTTATTTTTTATTTTTTTATTTTGAGACAGTCTCTCACTTTGTTGCCCAGGCTAGAGTGAGTGCTGTGGCGTCAGCCTAGCTCACAGCAACCTCAAACTCCTGGGCCCAAGCGATCCTCCTGCCTCAGCCTCCTGAGTAGCTGGGACTACAGGCATGCGCCACCATGCCCGGCTAATTTTTTATATATATTTTTAGTTGGCCAATTAATTTCTTTCTATTTATAGTAGAGACGGGGTCTCACTCTTGCTCAGGCTGGTTTCGAACTCCTGAACTCGAGCACTCTGCCTGCCTCGGCCTCCCAGAGAGCTAGGGCTACAGGCGTGAGCCACCACGCCCGGCCCGACGTAAAATTTTGATAGATAATTTAGAGGTGCTCTCAAAACATAAGCTGTACCTGTTTTTTTATAATGTATAAGAGAGAGTACCATTTCCTACTACTCTTGTCAACCTTGGATAGTATCTTTTCAATTTGCTACTGATATGGGTAAAAATTATTCATCTATAGCTTGTATAATTATTATAAATAAGTAAATATCAACAACCAGAGGATGCTAGAAAACTAAACAAGAGAAATGTGTCATTTGCTTTCAGGTCAGTGCTGACAGTTGCTTGTGAACAAACTGAAGTTCTGCTTTTTGACCCTATATCTTCAAAGCACATAAAAACACTTTCTGAAGCTCATGAAGACTGTGTAAATAATATCAGGTTAGTATAATAGTGGAAAAAGTGTGGCCCAAAATACTCTGTTTGGGAAGTTAGTGAAAAGGTATAATGCCTTATTCAACAGTGCTGAATTATCCACATTTGTGAATTGTGAGTCTAATTCCTTGTAAAACTAATTCCTTTAATTAGAAAACTGGTAACCATTTTGGATTGGAATCTTGCTGAAATACTTCTATATGATTTTACCTTTTCTCTTCATATATCAGGGTCATAATTATGCTGGTCCTATAATGCCTTTATGCTAATGATCTGTGTAGAATTATGGCAGTCTCATTGCTTAGCATCTCTTACCACCACCCACAACTCCCCAAATCCAAACTATTAAGAAGAAAAAGCACATGCACAGAGAACTTCTTTGTAGCATTGTTGGAAACTCTGTAATATGTGGGAAATAATTTACCATTGAGAAGTTTAGTGATTAATATGCAGTCATTTAAATGATGGTCATAGAGACAATATAGACAAATACTTGAGATAATATAGGTTAAAATTGTGATAAAAATTATACAAATATGAAATGACATAGAAGGAAAAAATTAAAAGGAAATATTTTAAAATGCTAACAATTTAGAATGGATAGATTATGAACAATTTTCTATTTTCTAAACTGTATGTAATGGGATTATTATATTTTTATAATTATTACTTTTGTTCTAAAAAAAGAAATATGGAAATGCCTTCTAGTCAAAGAAACACATTGCATTTTGATGTAACTTGTATGCTCTAAACACTGAGCAATAGATTAAATTACATAGCACATAAAAAATATAACCAGGTTCTAAAACAACATAAACACCTTTGTGGGCCAGAAATAGAACACAGACACAAAACTGTGAAGACTGAAACCACAGGCCCACTGGGTTTCAGTCTAACACTGACATCTAATAGTTTTGCTTTTATCAGGTAAAAAGATTAAAAAGTGCTAAAGTGCTTCATGTGAGGCAGGAACTAGAGCCAGAATCACTACATGAAGCCAGAGGCTTGGTTGAAATATCTGTCTCATTTGTAAAAGTTTTAGAAAAGATAAAATCTATTCACTACTTGGGTCTATAGGTTTTAGCTGATAAAGACACAGCCACATCAACAGGCATGGAATGAAACCACTTGCTGAGTCAGTGACTGAATGTATATGTATGATATTCCCAATATCATCATGAAACTGAAGCCCTGAAATATAATTATAAGGCCTGGTTGTGGACTGGGGTTCCAGATGGCCAAGAGAGGGCAACTCTAAAACCATTAAATAGAAAGGGAGAGAGAAAAAATTTTAAAAACTTTTCCTACTCAAAATGAGCCTATAACCAAAATTCTAAAATTTATGCAGACATCTATCTAATATTAATAGCATAACAAAATCAACCACAGACATTTTCTCTGGATGAAATTAATTTTATGGAGTCGTCCAACAAAGATTTTATTTTAAAAAATAAATTATTTATTTTTTTTTGACTAGGTAATACATGCACGTGGTACAAAATTCAAAGGTACAAAAGGGTAAACAGTGAAAAGTAAGTCTCTCTCCACCTCTGTCGCCTAGCCACCCAGTTTCCCTCCCCGGAGGCAACCACTATTACCAATTTCTTGCTATCCTTTCTGAGATAGTTTATACATGTACATGCATTTATATACACAGTCATACTTATACTTTTATATAAATGGTAGCATTTTACACATTCTATTATTTACCTTGCCTTTTTACTTAGTAACATATTTAGAGATCATTTCATATTAGTATTCATGGGACGATTTTATTTTTAACGGCTGCATAGTATTCCATTGATTAGGAGAAACTTTTAAGCCTTTTTAGACTGCTCAAAGAAATAAAGGATACTTTTCCAATTCAAGAGACTTCAAAATTGTGAAATGAAAGAGATTAAACAAGAACAGGTTAATGTAGTAAAGAAGAGACTAGAAATCTTAGAAATTAAAAATGTGGTTGGTATACAAAAAAACACAATAGATGCAATAAATCCTTTATACTCTTGATAAGTAAATTAGTGAATTGGAAAATAGTACTAAATAATTCATACAGAATACAGAAAAAAGATAAAAATATGAAAGAGTAGTTAAAAGAGGATTGAGAGACTCTAGTGTATGTAAAGAGTTACAGAAAAAGAAAATGCAGAGATTGGTGGAGAACTAAGTTTTGAAGACATAATGGCTAAGAAATTTTAGCATTGAAGAAGTGGTCTGAGACCTCAAATCAAAAGTGAACTTTAGAGTGTCAAGTATTACAGATTTAATAAAGATAAATCCACATCTAGACAGGTTGTGAAACTCTAGAAGATCAAAACTCAAGAGAAAATCTAAAAAGCCACTGAAGTTAGAAGTCAAGATTACCTACAGATGAATGAGGTATCTTCTTGGAGAAAAAAACAAACCAAAAAGATTATCTACAGAGGTACAATAATTAAACTAATAGAAGATTTCTCATCTGCAACAGTGGATATCAGGAGAAAATAGACTGATATTAATATCTTTAATGTTAAGGCAAAATAATGTTCCTTCCCATATTATATTCAGGTAAACTTAATCCAGAGTGAAGAATTTTAATTAGGTAAAATGTTAAATGTTATTAATTATTAATAGCAGAAAGAAAATAATTTAAGAGTTTTTTGGGGGAATACATTTAAAACAAAATTAAAACTAAAACTCTACATTAGCACTGTCCAATAGAAGTATAATGCTAGCCACATATTCAAATTTTTTTTTTTTTTTGAAACAGAGTATCACTTTGTTGCCCAGGCTAGAGTGAGTGTCCTGGCATCAGCCTAGCTCACAGCAACCTCAAACTCTTGGGCTAAAGCAGTCTTCCTGCCTCAGCCTCCCGAGTAGCTGGGACTACAGGCATACACCACCATGTCCAGCTAATTTTTTTTTTCTAGATATATTAGTTGGCCAATTAATTTCTTTCTATTTGTAGTAGAGACGGGGTCTCGCTCTTGCTCAGGCTAGTTTCAAACTCCTGACCTCGAGCAATCCTTGCCTGTCTCGGCCTCCCAGAAAGCTAGGATTACAGGCATGAGCCACTGCGCCCGGCCTACATATTCAATTTTAAATTTTATAGTAGCCACATTAAAAAAGAAAAAAGAAAGGCAAAATTAATTTAAATTATGTTTTTTTAGAGATAGCGTCTTGCTCTGTTGCCTAGGCTGGAGTGCAGTGGCATAATTATACTTCAGTGTAGCCTCAAACTCCTGGGCTCAAGTGATCCTCCTATCTCAGTCTCCCCCGTAGCTGGGATTACAGGTGTTAGCCACCACTCCCAGCTCAAAATTAATTTGCAGTAATTTATTTTATTTAACCTAATATGTCTAAAATATTATCATTTCAACATGTAATCAATAAAAAATTATTCATGTATTTTACTTTCATTTTTCATGTTAAGTGTTCAAAATACAGTGTGTATTTTACACTTAGAGTACATCTCAATTCAGACTGGCTAGGTATCAAGGACTGAAAAGCCACATATATCTGCACAGTGTGGCTCTAGCCAGTAACAATGAACAGGTTGTATGTATGGGAGAGTTTTGTTCAGTGGGAAGGTGTAGTATTTTAAGGCACACTTCATGTTCAGGAGTAAGATAGATATATTAAGTAATTTCAGACTCTTTTAGAATGTATAATTAAACATATGTGATGAAAAAACTACAAAAATGACTAAAATAATGGAAATATAATCTATAGCTTTCAAACTGGCAGAAGTGGGAAAAAGGAATATTAAAAACTTGATCAGTTCAGTAGAAGACAGGAAAGCTCAAAAAAGTTAAAAAAAATCAAGCAGAGGAAAGAGATGATGAATAGAAAACAAGAAGTAGAAAGAGTTCCAAATATATGAATAGTTCAAAGTAAATACAAATAGATTGATCTTTATTAGAAGACAGAGTCAACAATTTGAATAAAAACCAAAAATATATATATATATATATGTATAGATATATGTTTTTAGAGATACCAAAAATAAAAGCACCGAGAAAATGGAAAAGAAACTGATAGGAGATTATCAATATCAAAAAGATGAAAGACCAAGGGCTTTAATAAGGATAAAATGTAGGTCAGGTTTGGTGGCTCATGCCTGTAATCCTAGTACTCTGGGAGGCTGAGGTGGGTGGTCAGGAGTTTGCTCCAGGTCAGGAGTTCGAAACCAGCCTGAGTGAGACCCTGTCTTTACCCAAAATAGAAAGAAATTAATCGACCAACTAAAAATATATATACAAAAAATTAGCTGGGCATGGAGATGCATGCCTGTAGTCCCAGCTACTCGGGAGGCTGAGGCAGTAGGATCGCTTGAGCCCAGGAGATTGAGGTTGCTGTGAGCTAGGTTGATGCCATGGCACTCACTGTAGCCTGGGCAACAGAGTGAGACTCTGTCTCAAAAAAAAGGAATAAAATGTAATACTACATACTAATAAAAGGAAAAACCTATCAAGAATATATAATAATCACAAATTTATATGTACCTTAAACATAGCCTTAAAATATACAAAGCAAAAACAGAATTATTAAGAATTAGGAGTCTATAATTCTAGTGAGATATTTTAATTCAGTTCTGTCCAAAACTAGGAAATCAAGCAAATAAAAATTAGGCTGTGGAAGATTTTAAAATATCCTGAACAGTGTTTCTAATAAAAATCAGAAATGCTGGATAAAATGTAATATGTAATTTTTTTAATGTATAGTTGAACTGATAAGAAGGAAAGGAATCCTTGGGCCAAAAATGAAATGGAAGCAGAAATGCAAAGAAGCAAACAGGTTTTCAGCTGGCTTTTATCCTGGAGGCATCTGCCAAGTGCTGGTGACCTTGAGCTTCTGTTTTGACAGGTATGAAGAGTATAGGGAACAGGCAAGTTAATTATAGGGCCATTTTAAGGTGAGGAGTCTAATAGAAAGTGTCTCTGCATGAGGCTAAGACCCCAGAGTGCTCACTTTCAGCAAAAAGATGATCTAGAGATAAACCACCCTGTTCATCTAGACTGTGGCAT